TTTAACCTTTCTTAATATTACCATTCTTGCTTTACATTCGTTTGCATTTCTGGTATGTCTTACCCATCTATTTTCAACTTCTCTTTATTAGTGAGTATGTTTATTAGAAACTATATATACTTTGGATTTGCTCTTTTAGCCCAGTCTATTAGATTTTGTCTTTTAATGGGAGAATTCAGTCTGTTGATATTTAGTGTAATAACCGATGAACTTAATTATATTTCTTCATCTTAATTTGACAGCAAATAAGTCTATTCTTCTTTATTAAATATAGTTCATGCTCAGTAAATACTAAACAATTGCTTGAGTTTAGGTTTTAACAAGCTTTTTTGAAATGACAGTAGGTGCTCCAAGTGAAAATGAGGTAGGAAAGGACTGAACCTAGGCAGGGAGTAAGACTGGACGGATATATATTGGCATATTACGTATTATCTACTCTATTAGAGTTCTCCAGAGAATCGGAACCAATACATTAGAGAGAGAATAAGAGTGAGGGCAAGAGAGACTGATTTATTTCAGGGAATTGGCTAACACAGTTGTAGGGACTGGGAGGTCTGAAATTTAGAGCAGGCCGGCAGGCTGAAAATGCAGTGAAGAGTTGTTGCAGTCCAAGATCCACAGGCTGGAAACTCAGGTAGGGGTTCTATGTTACGTTCTTAATGCCGAATTCCTTCTTTGTGAACTCTGTCTTTGCTTTTAAGGCCTCAGCTGATTGGGTGAGGCCCATCCATATTATGGAGGACAATGTGCTTTACTCCAAGTTGGCTGATATGTTAATTACACCTAAAAAATACCTTCAAAGCAACATGCAGACTGATGTTTGATGAAACAACTGGGCACCATAGCCTAGCCAAGTTGAAACAAAATTAACCATCACCTCAACACCATAGCAAAAGCTGACCAAATATGAATGGATTATTTCTAAACCAGGTGGTTACAAATATTTGTAACACTCCCTTTGCTATCCTTAAATGCAATTAACACTTAACTTATCTACTGTACACATAATTTTTAAAAATCACCATAATGTTCTAATAGTAATATAAAGGATATGTTTTAAGAATTTATAATAAAATTATTTCCACATATAAATATTGGGCATAGTTATACTAGCACTCAGATGCTTGCACTTCTGTACATTCACCATGAATACAGTGGCTACAAATGCAGACTGATACTATCGTGTTGTGTCAGAGATTCAAATGCCAGGAACAGACTCTGCCATCAATGGCATGGTTTTTTGAAATGGTGAACAAAAGTTCTAAATAAACTACACTACAATCTCCCCTCCATTTATACAGTAATTGCATGCCTAGAGGATTCAGAGTACACTAAAAACTGTACAAAAAATACTTCATATTTATAGGTAAAAGAGGTTATAGGCTCAGCTAATTATAGATTTTTTCACTTGAATATTTATAGAGACATTTGATAGTTGTGCAGGACTTGGGACAGTATGTTGTGTAAGACTATCCCAGACATTGTGAGAATTCTGGCATCCTTGGCCTCCACCTACCAGACGCCATACCAGACGCCAGAGATGCTTCCCAATCATTGTGACAATCAAAACACTTTCACCTCTGTTGTGTGTGTGGGGTGCCACTTCTGCTGAGAACTACTGTAGTAAATAATAAGAAGCTATCAAAAGTATTTTTTCTCCCCTCAACTTTTTGAGAAATCGGAAAAAAAAAAAAACAGAAAAACATTAAGAATGCTGTATGCTCTCATATTTCCAATACCCCAAATTAATACCTCTAACATTTTGTCTTACTTCAAATCTTATTTTTAAAAGAAATAAAAAATTAGAGACCTGTGACATTGTGATATAATAAATATATAATTGGTCTTAGTCCCAGGTTCTTGGCACAGAGCTTCTAAGACCCTTGGGAATCTCCAGAGTGATGTATCTTTTTATTTGCTAATGAGGTTACTCTTGGTGGGCCCCTAGATAGTTTCAGGTTGGGAGCTGGTTGCCAGAGGAACAAGACAAGGCAGATTAGAAGGCTGAAACTTTCAGCCCCACATTCCCGATCTCCTGGGAGGGGAGAGGTGCTGGGGATTGGGTTAATCATTGAATGGCTGATGATTTAATCATGCTTATATAATGGAACCTCCATTAAAACTCTATAAACAGTGAGGTTCAGAGAGCTTCTGGGTGGAACACATAGAGATGCTGATACAGGGATGGGCCCTATGCATCTCTTCCATTTGGTTGTTCCTGAGTGGTATCCTTTATAATAAACTAGTAATAATAAATAGTTTCTCTGAGTTCAGTCACGTGAGCCATCACAGCAAACCTGAGGAGGTGGTCGTGGGAACGGATCTGTAGCTGTCAGGCAAAGTTTGGGTGACCTGGGCACCCCACTACTTGTGAATGATTGAGCCCTTAACCTGTGGTGTCTGCGCTAACTCCACGTAGCTTAGTGGCAGAACTGAACTGCAGGACATAGTTGGTGTCTGGAGAGTTGGAGAATTGTTTGGTGTGGGAAAAACATATTTGGTGGTAGAAGTGTTGTGAGTAGAGGAAACAGTTTCCATTTAAGACCCCCCCCTCTGCCCTCTTCCACCTCACCTCATCCCCAATGTAATGACTACTATTGTCCTTTCAATCTATTTTTTATACTTTTATAATCACATATGTATCCATAACAACATAGAATATGAATTTCCCCATGGGTTTGTGATGTATCCTCTATCATATTCAATTTCTCACAGATACACTGATCTGTGTCTGAGTTTATTATTCTGTGCCATTGATCTATTTGTCTGCTCCTGCACTAGTACCACAACATTTAGATTACTATTAGCTTTCTACTATGTCTTGATATCTGGTAACCCCAACCCATCTTCTTTGTTTCTTTTCAAAACTGTCTTAGATACCTGTGCTTTTAAAGATTTTTTTAGAGAAAAAGTGGTGTCTTCTATAGATACTTGGCCCAGCATGGGAGCGTGAAGAGTCAGAGAAACCTTTTAGGAAAAAGAGGATAGAAAGGATGTTCCATTTAGAGAGAAAGAAAGAACAGGCATGGAGACAAGAAACAACGTGCAACCACACAGGTCATTTGATTTTACTAGAACACAAAGGGTGAGGTAGGAACATAAGGTGGGTCAAGACTTAAGGACCTCATACACCATACCAAGGAGTCTGGACTGGACCTTATAGGTCAGGGATTCTTAACCTATTGTCTGTGGTTGAGCTTCAGAGGGGATCCAAAGCAGAATGCCATAATCGAATCTGTTCCAAATAGATGTCTCTGACAGCAATGTGGCAAATATGAGGTCAAGATTGGAACTAAGACCCCTAAAAGGCTCCTGCAAAAGTATAAGCAAGAAATGACAAGGGTAGAACTGACTGAATGGATGTTTAAATGGTAGAAATTAATAAGACAGTTACTTGGTTGGGAGTAGGGTACAGAGAATAGTGTAATGAGACTCCCATAATCCTGACTTAAATGATAGTGAAAATAAGGGGAAAAAAACAAGTAGGTCCGGGAGATATGAAGGAATGCTGTTAGTCGTGGACAAGTTAGAGAGGACTATAGGATTTGAGTGGATATAGCAAGCAACTGGATATATCTGAAGCTCCAAAGGTGAACCTGGAAGATACAAATGTGGAGGTCAGCAGCAGGTGTTAATAGCTGACAGGTACCGGAGTATTAATATGAATTGTCTCATTTAATCTCAGACCAATCTTCTAACTTAGAAACTACCACTTAAGCAAGTTTATGTACTGCAAAGAAGGAAGAGGGTGAGTTAGATAACTAATGGAGCAAGGTCTGGGGTTGAGAAGGGTAAGGCTGGAGGCAGGGCAGCAGTTCGGATGCTCAGCTGTGGGCACAGGCTGGACAGGGAAGCAGTTTAGATCAAAAAGGGGGTGAAAGATTGGAAGGAAAAAAAGGAATCCAAAGATTTGAAGTATTCAAGTTCTCGAATACAGTGAAAATGAGAATATAAGAAAGCTCCTCAAAAAGGACTGATTTTACACTGTTTGAAAGTGGCACTGGGGAGCTGAGAGCATGGTCACTTTACTGTCTGTACAGGCAAATGAGAAAGCAGAGAAGGCAGTGGAGTCCCTGGTTAACACATCAAGAGAGGATGGGAGTAAATGAGTTGAGGATATAGGAATGCTGAGTTTTTAAATCATGGAAGAGGGCCTTCAGGTGAAAGGTTTAGGAATGGGGGACAAAGGTCAGAGCAGTATGTACATGAGAGAGGACAGGTGTCCAAAGGGGTTGATATTTTGGGCGATCACCAAGAATGATGTGAACAAGCAAGCCTCAAAGCTCAAAATGAAATGGTGGTGGGACTTCCCTGGCGGTCTAGTGGTTAAGACTCTGGGCTTCCGCTGCAGGGGGCACGGGTTCAAACTAAGATTCCACATGCCGCGTGGGCAAAAAAAAAAAACGATGGCAAGAATATCTCTTCATAGTTGGATTTTACCTTGAATGCATCGTTTTCTTTCAAATCCTCTTCACAACTCTGCAATCAGACCTGCAGGTAGATTCTTGTGCAGTGGCACAGTGAGAAATCAACCCTGATGCTAATACTATACCCACTATGCTTAAGGAGATGGACTGCATTACTGTAGGCTGCCCAAAAGCCCTTCACATTTTAAGAACTATCCGCCTCCATTTTGTGCAATTTTAACAGCTGTTAAACAAGGGCCTCTGCCTCCTTGGCTCAGAAGTGCACATGTGGCCAAGCTGGCCAGAGAACTCCATTACCTGGACACAGTTTAATTGGTCCAGGAATGGTCACTGACCACAAAAGAGCTTTGGTCTTTACAGAGTCTTCTCAGGAGATTTATACAGATGCTGGGACAGTCCTTTCTCTGAGATCAGGAGAGCTGAGATTACTACTCCTAGAACTGTATATCCCCTACTTCATGGGTGCTAAGAGCTCAAGATATGGAAATCCAGTCTGTGACTAGAAAACTGGTAGTCAAGACCCCACCTCTGTAGTCCATACCCTGTTCAAGTAAACAAAAACACCAAGACACAGACATGGCAAAATATTTAATGTCTGTAGGTGTGCCTCACCCTCCCATTCCTGTTATGATTCAATAGCCTCTCCAAACTGACTGTACCAGAAAAAACATGGGCACTTTTTCCCAGCAGAGTTCGAAAACCATTAAGGCCCTGATCCTCTTGACTCAGAAATGATTGCAGGTGAGGTCTTTCCACAACATGCCTCAGGTCTCTCTGCTCAAGGAAAAAAGCCCCCCAGTTCTACGGGACTCCTGAGGTCTTCTGTTCTTCTGCAGCCTGGCGCTGGGAGCTGCGCCGCTGGAAATAGTGGTAGACTCGGACACTGCAGAGGTAGCCCCCGTAAACAGTGAGGAGCATCATGGAGGTGGAGAAGGTCTTGTAGCCAATGTCGGCTAGTTGCTTGGCAGTTGGCATGTTGTCCCCTACAAAGACAGACTAGATTTAGACCCAAGGATAAGGCCTCATCTGCCCAGCCCACTTACCTGTTTAAGACCATTCTATAACTTCTCAGTTTGTCTGCACTCTATTCTGAATGGCCCCTAGACATATGCAGTCTTATACTGGAAGATATTGTTTGGGAAGTCTTAAGATTCAAAAGGGCAAATAAAGTCTGCATACGAGATACAGAAACACAGCTGGAACCAGGTGTATCTGAATGACATTACAGCTAACACCTGACCCTCCATGTTTATGGAAAGACATGACTGGTATGGACCACCCAGAAATGTTCTTAATTGGTATATTACTTTAGGCATACATCAGTTTTTCTGGCTAGTAGGGAATTTATTGAAGTAGCCAGAGATTAAACATTAGCAGTGAATTATTCTCTGTAGGAGGACCGAATGGGAGCCTTCTGGGCAATATCCAATTTGTTTTCCCATAAAACCATCTTATTTATGGTGCTAAGGTTCCCAGGTTAGTCTTCAAGCATCTGTTTAAGCCATAATATACTTGAAATAGTGCCAACAGTATGTTTATGTTATTTCAGTTAGACATAACCTTCTACAGCATTAATCTTGAATTCCAAACATAAAAACAAGAACCTATCCCAAGGGCTAAAATGAAACTTACTGTGTCCCCAGCAAATTAACTCACATTTGCATGAGATAAATTACTTCCAACTTAACTGTTCCCTGGACATTTCCCTGGACATTCTGAGCCAGGGAACAAGAGAAAGTTTAGAATGGGAATCTCTCATCTTGAACAAAACGTTCCTCAGTTTGGGACTATGAATGTATATTCTCAGCCTCCTCTCTGTTGAGGGAATTAAAATTAAAAGACTGAAGTTAGTGAGAATAACTTCTTTCTTAAAAGTCAAGAATATGAAAGGAGAAAAGTTCAGGTTAGCTGGTTGAGGGGGTCAGGGGTAGGGTGTGACATCTAAGTGCTTCTCAGAGTAAGTCCCATGGGCTGAACACTGCCTTTGAGCCAGTCCCTGAGGGTAGATCCCACACTGAACTGAGGCACAGCTTCCTTGAATCATAATTCCAAGTGACTATTGAAAGTGACATTAAATAAGGTCAGAGGAAGAAAACCAAATGGCACAGGGACAAGATGAGAAAGGGTTGTATTCAGGTTATCTGGGGTTTGAAAGGACCCCAAGCTGTGAGACAGTAAGAAAACACACACGTGACACGGAGCAACTAAGCCCGTGTGCCACAACTACTGAGCCTGCGCTCTAGAGCCCACGTGCCTAGAGCCCGTGCTCTGCAACAAGAAGCCCTCGCACCGCAACGAAGAGTAGCTCCTGCTCACGGCAACTAGAGAAAGCCCGGGTGCAGCAACGAAGAACCCCAATGCAGCCAAAAATAAATAAAATAAATAAATTTATTTAAAAAAAACAAACAAAAAGAACACACATATACACACAGAGCAGGACACTAAGGTAATAAACAAGCTCCCAGCAAAGAGACCTGCAGCCTTCAACCTCCCCCTCACTTATTCTTTCTCCTCCTATCCCCCATTACCCTGGCCAGATGCTAACCAGTTATAGGACCACCTCTTCTCAGGGCTGGAGGAAGAAGGACAGGATAGTATATCTTGCCTAGAAGACTGACAGATCTACTGACAGATGAAATTTTTCTAGAACCTCATTTTCCTCACTTGTCTAATCCAACCTGAGATTTCTCCTATTTTCAAATTAACAAAAACTTTTCACAGATCCTGAGCTAAGGCAGGGCAATGGAAAAACAGAAGACAGATGAAGAAGTTATTCTAGAGGTAGAACAAGGCTTATTAACTGAATGGGCTAGGGCAAAGCTGAAAATATCTCCAAGTTAACAACTGAGGAAACTTTATGGAGTGGGATACTGCTAATAGAAGAAAGAAGAAACAGGTGTGTGTCACTATGTGTGTAGGGGGATGGTGGTGTCAATAAGCATCAGTCAAGAAGATCATGAACTGGACATGTTAAAGTTAAGATGCTCAATAAAGGGACTTCCCTGGTGGCGCAGTGGTTAAGAATCCGCCTGCCAATGCAGGGGACACGGGTTCCATCCCTGGTCCGGGAAGATCCCACATGTCGCAGAGCAACTAAGCCCGTGCGCCACAACTACTGAGCCTGCGCTCTAGAGCCCGCGAGCCACCACCACTGAGCCCCACGCGCCTAGAGCCCGTGCTCCGCCACAAGAGAAGCCACCGCAATGAGAAGCCCGCATACTGCAACGAAGAGAAGCCCCCGCTCTCTGCAACAAGAGAAAGCCCACGCGCAGCAACGAAGACCGAACGCAGCCCCCCTCCAAAAAAAACAAGAAAGAAAAGATGCTTAATACAATATTCATGTGATGATGTCTGTCAGGCACATGGATATGCAAATTTGGAACAAATCCTAGGAGAGAGGCTAGGCTACGGATACATATGGAAGTAACAAGTGTCACTGAAACAGATGATAAAACCCAAGAGAAAGAGGCCAAGGGAACGCCAGTTTGAAGAAAGAAAACAATTACGGAAAGAAAACAATTACGGAAAGAAAACAGGTAGGAAATTCCAGAAACATCTGGGATGCATTTTCATTTAACTACAACAGTGGTTGAAAATCACTGCTGTATCAAGTCACTACCACTGACAGAGGTATGCTGTATCTTTGGGTGTACTGGGCCAGAATAAAAATTGGGAAACACTACTGTAAAGTGCCATGAAAACTGGTCAGATGGGATCACTGGATGGGAACAGGTGACCAGATCACAGGTAAACCTAGGACAGAAGTCAATTTAATGCACTAAATTGGAACAGGCATTAAGTAAAAAGCATGGATTCTTAGCCAGAGCCCCAGCAGGCCCCATGAACCCCGTCCCGCGAGGTTCACGTGTCTGTGCATTTTTTCTAGGACGCAGAAAAACAGATTATTAGAAGGATCATAACTCCCTCTCACCCCAAAGATAAGAATTGATATTCTTGTGATTTGCTGGTTAAGCGAACAGGAGTGATAGGGCAGCAGCCTGAAAAGGTAACAAGGTCAAGTAAATTCTAGTTTTGTTTTGCTTATTGATAAGGAGATATGACTATGTTTTAGAGGAGAAGAAACGTGGCTAAACTGAGGATAAAAGTGAGGTGGATGGGATGGAACAAAATCTAGGATGGCCCAGGAAAAGATGAAATTAGAAGCCCAGGTAGAAGGATTAACCTTGGAAATGAAGAAAACTTTTGAGGTTAGCAGGAGAACATTCTCATCTGAGGGACATCCATTTTCTCAATAAAGCTCAAGGCTGGGTCTTTTATGGGGTTAGACTGAAGGTTTCAGAAAAACAGGAAAAAGAAAACAAGAACCATAATGGAAATGACATAGGGGTGCAATCTGCAAAAACCTTTTCAGATTGTGGCTCTTTTCTCTTTTTCTGCCCCCTAAACATGGGAGGACCTCAAGGCTCAGGTCTCTCCTCTGGAAAACTCATTTCCTCAAATGGATCCATCCACCTCAGCTTAGATTTACTCACTTATCTGTCTACCTTTTACTCGTGCTATAAAGGCTGCAGAGAATATGGCTTGTGTCTCAAAGGAGCTTATGGTCTGATGGGGATAAGCTATGCACCCAAAATTCTGTTAGACGAAGTGGAAGACGCCGGTGACCAGAAGAGAAGAGGCGTTTTGAGAGTTCAAAGACAAGGTGGAGGCTCAAGGAAAGTCAGCAGAAAGGTGGGGACGGGGGTGTGGGGGTTGGGCAACTGTCGTTTTAGAAGGGTGGGCAGGATTTACACCGGTATAGAAGAGGGAGGGGGAGAGCATTCCAGGAATTGAAAGCAGCAAAGGAGCGGATCCAGTTAATCGATAAGCAGGAAGGGTGCCCGGGAAAGCTGCATTTCAGGGCGCAGCGGACTGCAAGACAAGGAAGGGTCAGAGCTACTGGAGTCAGAGCGTGGAGGGCCGAGATGCGCGGTGGCAGTCACGGTGTGACAGGAACCTACAGCCGCAAGGAGCTAGCTGGGCTGGAAGCGGCGCAGATCGCGGCACAGGGTACGCGGCAACCTCAAGGGCGCCGAAGCCCGAAGACTGGGCGTGGGAGGATGCGGAAAGCAAAGGCCGGCCCGAGCGGGCGCGCCTCTGCGGACAGGCGGCCCAGGCTCGGGCCTGGCAGACGCCGTACCTGGATGCTGCCGCTCCCTCCCTTCCGACCGAGGCCTCCTGCCTGCGCGACCTCCTAGCTCAGCCGGAAGCAGCACCCGGGTCCAGAAGAGTGAGGGTACCGCCCAGGGACAACCCTGAACGCTGAGGCGCTATTGGTGCGGAACGCCACCCTTTCTCGCACCCCCACGCTCCGCTAAAGCTCTAGGATTGCGCTCCCGACGCGAGGTACTGCCCCTCGCGCCAGACGCAGCATAACCCCGCCCACCGAGACGAGAGCCCGCGCCGGCTGCAGCTCCGACTGGTTGCTGCCTTTGAACATCCGGCTTCCGGGTCAGCCGCCCTTACTACGCATCCTCAGACGAGCCTTCCTTTCGGAGAGGCCCGTTGGTTTCTGGGGGTTGTAGTCATTCTCCGTTGAGAAAGGGTCTTTGGCGACCCAAACTCTGGAACGGGAACTTTTAGGATACTCAGTCACCACAGAAGAGAGCCGGCCAATCCCCAGCCTGCGGCGCGGTGACGTCTCCGGTAGCTGGGTAGGTTCTCTCGGAGTCCGCCCTCTGGAGGGGGCTGCGCGGCCCCTACAGCCTGGAGCTGCCCTCTTACCCTGGGCAGGCCTTCAGCCGAGCTCAGGAACCCGACCCGCCCTGCGAGGCTTGGACCGCCGAGGATTGCGGCAGGTTTGACCATGGCCACGGAGTAGGCGCGAGGGTCGAATCTCCGTAATGTTTCTGTCCCGTATGTGACCTCCCCGCTTGCAGGCGGCTTGATAAAGCCCCAAAGAAGCGCCGGGAAGGGGTTGGGAGGGGGTGCCATTTGGGGGAAGGGGGACTGCGTGGGCACCCCTGCAAGGGGCCGGGAGTGGCTGGAATGATCGACGAAGGATTTCTTTTCCTTTTTTCGTTTTTCCTCCGGCATGAGTGAAAACATGTACATGCATACGCCCTACCACATGCACTTAAGCGCCCTTCCCTAATTTGTTTATGCAAAAACCACGCTTTATTAGGTAGACAAGTAAGCCTTGTTCGAAAGCCTCAGATTCAGTTAATTGTGGAGTGAGCAAAAGTAGGCAAAGGGGGGCTTCCCTGGTGGCGCAGTGGTTGAGAGTCCGCCTGCCGATGCAGGGGACACGGGTTCGTGCCCCGGTCCTGGAGGATCCCACATGCCGCGGAGCGGCTGGGCCCGTGAGCCATGGCCGCTGAGCCTGCGCGTCCGGAGCCTGTGCTCCGCCACGGGAGAGGCCACAACAGTGAGACGCCCGCGTACAGCAAAAAAAAAAAAAAGTAGGCAAAGGTTTTTGACTATCTAAGAGGGTCGCAGCTGCAGCCTAGGGAAGGGAGCTGTCTTTCTGCCCCGACTTTGACCTCCTGGGGAAGCAGCTCCTGAGCCCAGCCAGATCTGGGGTGACTGTGCCCCTCACTCTCGCTGTCTGATCCAGGCAGCTCCGCCCTTCACTGGTAAGACTGACTTCTCAGGGGCTAGGGGCTGAGAGGAGCCTGCCTCCCTGGTTTGTCCAGGAGTAAGGGAGGGTTAACATAATGCTGGCCAGAGCCACAGCATGCCAGATGCTGCCACACAGGAAGCTGAGACCCTCTGCTGGATGTGACAGGAGCCCTCGGCCTCTATTTATAGCCAGGGGTCCAAGCTGCTGACCGGTGACATTCTCCGGCTGCCATTCCATCCTGGAGCAAGGCCACTGCAAAGCACACTCCTCTCCCTCCTCCCCTTCCTGTTCTTCCCTCACCCCAGCTGGTACGGAGGCTTGAATTTTTTTCCTCCTCCACGAGTTTCCCAGCTCCTGAGGTGCTGAAGTAGTCAGTACCTCATGAGAAGGCCTTCAGGTGACAAAGGAGAGCCGGCCTTGGAATTCAGACCACAGAGATGAGGACCTGCTCATCCTCCCTTACCCACTCTCTGGCTCCCTGGCCTGCAGATACAGGAACCGGTTAGCTGCCCTGGCTGCTCTGGGGGTAGCTGAGAACTAGGGACAGGGTTTAGGAGGTAAGGGGTGGATCCAAGATGTCCTGGGGAGATAGCAGCAGGAGGGACCCAGCTGACACCTCCCCCCACTAGAGCTCCTGAGAAGGGAGGCAGGGCAATTACAAAGGTCACAGGGAGTAGAGTGATCTGAGCCTGCTGTGAAGAGGTGTAGCTCTGTCAGCAGATTAAGTTCTGCTCCCCAGAGAGGGTGCTGGCAGGGAGGGTGAGAGAGCCTTGGAAAGGTCACACATGGTGGGGTGGAGCTGGCAAAGAACTAGGAACTGGGAAGTCCCAGGAGAGAATGACAAGCCCCATGGCCAGAGATGCCAGCGTGGCAGCAACTCTGGTGCCAGGCAGCCTGGGGGAGGGGGAAGGGGATGACCAGAGGTTTCTGAGGAAACCTCAGAAGAAGCTGAGGTTTCTAGGAGAAGCTAGAAGGGGGTTGTATTTTGCGAACAAACAGAGATCCATTGATGCCATGTGGGGCCTGGCAGAGGTCTACATCAGCCCAAAAGCCCAGACCCCTCCCTGCAGCCCTCACCTCATCCCTCTTGCAGCTGAGGTACTTCTTTAGCCATTAACTGGGCTTGAGGACAGCAGTCCTGGTCTGTGTGAGGCCTCTTTGCCTTGCCTCCCTCCCCTCCCCTCCTCCCCCCACATACTCAAAGCAGGCAGCACTGGGGCTGATTCTACCCCTCCCAGAGGACAGGGAGAAAGCCCCACATATGGAGAGGGACTAGGCAACTCCACTTCTGGTGCGATGAGGTGGCAGGAGGCTGCGGGCTGCTTGTGCTTCAAGATCTCCAGGCAGGTGGCCGGGCCCACAGGCACCTGTCCTCCAGTGAAAAGCTGAGAAGACGCTACTGTGTGGGGAGTCCCAGAGATCGTGGTGGCCAGGCACCCCAAGCTTCTGCCTGTCTCCGCTGGGGTAAAGAGGCTGCCTGGCCTGGGCCCCAGCCCTGCTCACAGATGTTCTGGATGATTCTGCAGGCAGCGAATGAATTCACCTACTGGCTGGTTCTCGTAGCATACCTTGTACACAGCCATGAACAGAGGGAACCTAGAATGGGGAAGGACAGAACCAGCTGGGCCTCCAGGCAAATCCCCTAACCCTCCACTCCCTACTCTCCCGCCTTGGAGCTCAGGCAGACTCTGGCTCTCAATTTCCCATCGCTGAGAATGTGTATTTCCTAGCCCCGGGGTTTAGGGTCAGGTTTCTATTGCCCTGCTCCCTATGGTATTGAACCCTGGCATGAACTTTTTGTTCCAATTAGGCAAGCCTCAGTAACATCAGCTGTAAAACAGGGTCAATATAACAAAGTAGTGAAGAAGTGATTATGAATTATGTGAAGGTGCTCAATAAATGCCAGTTTCCTTCTTCCCAGCCTGTTGCCCAGGCCGCTCCCTTTACCAGGAGGCTTTACCCTGACCAGCCGCGAGCCGATCTTCTGAGCCTGTTTCGTACTGTCTTGCTCTAGGATTCTTTCCCAGATCAACCGAGTTCTGCTCTGATCAGCCCATCACCCCTGCTGTCTTGTGCTCCCTGAAAAGGAGCACCTTGAAGCAGAGACTTTCCTCTTCCTCACACCTCAGCACCCAGGACAGGATTCACGGAACAAAAGGGTTGGCCTTGGGGGAGCAGCTTAGACTGAGGGTGATGGACAAAGAGGCAGAACAGTCAGAGGAGCTTATTCCTGTCCACCCCCATAGCAGAGGACAAGGAGGAAAGGACAGAGAGCGGCCACGCAGAGGGGTCCAAGCAATGTGGTATAAAGAGCACTAGACTGGAAAGAATTCAAAGACAACGAACGAGCTGGGGGACAGCGGGCATACCAGACCCTGGCCAAGCTCTAGGCTCTGTCTGCCCACTTCACAGACTGAGGAGGGTTCAGGAAGATGATGAATGGGGAGAGCACTTCTGTCGGTGGTTCCCTCCATCAGTGGGGCTGGGGCAGACGCTTACTTGTCCAGCAGGCCCTTGCGCTGGAGGATGCCGTGTAGCTCCCGGGCTGTCTGGGGCCCCTGCAGCTTCTGCCCATTCAGCATCTCTTTCTCCAGCTGCTCAATGGACTGTGAAGAAAACAGGACAGGCAAATGGAAATGGGAGAGGAGGGTTGTCAGTGTGAGACAGAGAGTCTGGGACTCTGGGAGGAGGTGGGTCTTAAGAGGAAAGAAAGGCTGGGAATGTTCCCAACAATCTTAATGTCTGTGTTCAAGAGATGCCTCGAGCCACGTTCCTCTCCCTGAACACCTACAGGGCCCACCCTCCATTCTTCATTCTCCCCAGGGCCCACCTTTCCTGTGCGGGCGAAGGCCTCGGCCACCTTGCGGTTCCGCCCTCCGTAGCAGGTAGTGATGAGATCAGCAACACCGCAGCTCTCCAAGAAGGTGGCAGGGGACACAGGGCCACTGCAGAAGAGCTTGGTGAAAGCGATCATCTCCATGAGCCCCAGTCGGATCACGGCCGCCTTGGTGTTGTCGCCAAAGCCCAGCCCATCACAGAAGCCAGCCCCCACGGCCACTATATTCTTTGAAGAGTGAAGTCACGGGTGAGAAAGGATCCCCTCCTTCGGCACCTGCCTCGTGCCCCTCCCATCAGCCATGACACGCTCACTGAATAAGTGAAGGAAGGTGGGTGGGCTCCTCAACTATTTTCACCTCTTGGTTTTCCCACTTGCTGCACTCCCTTCTTTTAGCCTGGGCTTGTGCTTTCCGGCTCCCCAGCCCTGCCCTATACTCCATCCTTGAGGACTTTTCCTGAAAACCAGTCTTCTACCTCGCCCTCCCAACCACGGCTATTTTGTTCTATGCCCCCGATATCCATCCATAGGTCTGTCCAGGATCCAGAGTTCTGGCCATCAATCCGTCTGGGTGTCCTGGACGTCTTATCTCCCATTAGCCTGAGTGCTCCCCCTGGGCATCTCCTCTTCCCCCTGGACCAACCTTTGGAGCCAGGGACAGGGATGTCCCACAAGGGGCTATAGGGGAAAGGAAGAAGGAAGCCCAATGTCTGATGGTAAGTAATCGGCAGACCTGAGCGAGCCTGGCCTTGCTTCTGCCCTTCTTCCCATGTGTATGAGACTTGGTGGGGAAGGGCAGTGAGTGTCTGGAGTCCCAGCAACCTTGTACAGCTAAGCCAGGCCCTCTTTCAGGGCCTTCTCCCCACCCCATAGCTGCCTCTGAAGCCCTCTCACCTTTAAGGCCCCACAGAGCTCTACTGTGTCCACCTCTTGCACCACCGTGATGCGGAAATTGGGTGTCTGCATCAGCTCTTTCAGAAGCTGTCCCTGGGCCAGGTCCTTGCAGCCTAAAGTAGGGAGGGGATAAGGCTTTAAGAAGGGACTCTTGACTCTTCTTCCCACAACTGCCCTAAGCAGGACCTACAGCTCTTGCCGTAGGGGTGCCCCAACTCCCCTCACCTTTGATGCTGGGATCTTCTTCCTTCACCTGCCTTATGGGGAGAAGATGGCTAAGTGGGTGGGGAATATAGCCTGGGGAGGCGATGTAACTGGAGTTGCATTATCTATGTGGGTGGTGGGGTCTCACCAATGGTTGTCTCACAGAACTTCTCATCAGCCACCTCGCTGGCAATGTTGGCCCCCATCAGCACGCTCATGGGGATGCCAAGGCGCTCCCCAATCACTTCAGAGATGAGCTTCAGCCCGTTGGGGCCCTCGTCTACCCCCTGGGCACAGGATGGAGCTCAGGCCAGGTGCCTTTTATCCCCAACTGAGGGCTTCCCACCTAGAAATCCTGCCCATTGCAAATTCACTGTTCATCAATGTCCCTCCCCAAAGGTCCTCCCCTATTCCAGTGCAGCCAAAGCTAGCTGTGAGGAGAGCAGATAACATGTGAAAACGAATCCATCTGAAAACTCTCCTTCCACAACCTACTTCTCCAAGGTAATGTATCCCCGCCACATCCCTAAACAGCCCACTCCTGAGTACCCCCAACCAACTTCCATCCCAGCCACTGCTCCAAACCAGCTTCCCTTCTCAACTCCTCAAACAAGCCCACTTCTTGTATCCCCTAGGCATCCCTTGTACACCTCCTAAACTCCCCAAGACATCTGCCTCCAAACTCATCTCTTATCTACTCCCCAACCAACCTCCCCTTCCCAGTGGCCCCCCGCATCTGTTTCTCAAGCTTCCCCAAAGCCAGCTCCTCTCTTCAGAAAACTCCTGGCCTACTTCTGCTCTTTTCTGTTTGTCGCACTTCACCCACCCTGAGCCCCACAGCAGTTAGCTGCATCCCCATCCACAGGAGGGTGTCCCTGGCACCTTAATAAGAGATATGCCAATGGTGTCTGCCTTCAGGTGGCCCTTGAGCTGATCACAGATCTTGCCGATGAACTGATGGGGTACCACGAAGATCAGGATGTCAGCATCCACTGCAGCCTGGACCACATCTGGGACAGCCACCTGTGGGGGTGACCAGTGTTCATGGGCCTGACGGACTGCTTCTAGCCCCTGTGGAGCCCCATGCAGGAGATCTAGGAGACAGGGTGAGGCTGGTGGGGAAGAAGGAGGGCAGTTTGGGGGTTGAATCTGGAAGGGCTGAACCTGGAGGAACAAGACACTTCTATTCCTTCCGCCTAGCCATCATTCCCTCTAGGTTCCAGCTGTCCTGGGTTCTTGAGGACTCCTGGAAACCTCCTCTTAGCACTCTCCTAGCCCTTGGCTGTGGGATAGTGAGGGAGGCCAAAGGAGGTCTGGGCTTGGCAAGAGGAAGAGGCCAAGTGAGATTTCATCACCCTGCTCCTTAGGGCTCCCAACTGGGAAGGGAGAGCCCCAGTCTTCCTGCTGTCTTTCCTGCTCCCCCTTTCCAGGTGGGGAGTAAGCCACATGGATCTGACCAAAGACCTTAAGTCCAAGGAGCAGTCTCCACATCTACTAATAACCCAGTGAATGAGTAACAGGGTTAGAGCCCGAGGCAGGCACTACCCAGACTCCAAGTCTGGGGGCCAGAGAACCTGTCTTTGGTTGCCACAGAGACCAACTTCCTCATCCTCTCCCCGTCCCTCTCCTGCCTGGAAGCCCACGGGGTGGGGTGGAGATGCAGGGGGATGCATTCAGGTTCTCCCCAGTCCCAGGAAGTGCTCAGGGGAGCAGTTTGGGGGCTGTGCCCAGGGACGCCCTGTGCCTGGAGTAGCCCTCCTGAGATGCTTCTCAAGTACAGGTGGCACGTGAAGTGGCCCCCTCCCAGCAGGAAGCACCCCCTCCACTTCCCTCTCCCTTCTTATGGGGCATTGGGGCTCACCACATTGGGGGGCAACTTGTGCCCTGGCAGGTATTTGACATTCTCATGCTGTGTGTTGATGACCTCTGTCAGCTTTCTGCCCCCGACGTCTTCCTCAAACACCCACATGGTCACCCGTGGGTCAAAGCGTGCCAGCTGGGCTGCGTTGCCACCCACAATCTTGGCGATGGCTGAGCCCCTGGCAGGAGGGGGAGCACAGAAAGTGGAGGAGCGGGGGCGTGAGAGAGGAACAGTGGCGGGAGGGGACAGTGCTCCCCCTCAGGATGTCACAGAAGCCACTGGATTATCTACCTGCCACCTTCCTTGTCACCCCCTCCCCGTGACGCTGCGTCTCTCCTGACCTAGCAGTAGAAAGGAGACTCAGTTTCCTTTCCCTCACACTTTGCTGCTGGAGAAGGGGGCCAGCCTCTTGATCTCCCCCCCCACCCCCTAACCCAGGCAGCCTTTCAGGCAGGGAGCACTCTGGAGGCTCCCTTCCCGTGGCGAACAGGTGCTGCTGCCCGAGACGCAAGGGCCAGGAGCGGTCTGGGCATTGTCTGTCCTGCCGGGGTAGGCAGAGAAGACAGCAACAGGGGTGGGCCAGGAGCTGGAGGCATTTCCTCCCCACCGACTGCCTCCTGCCCACCAAACCTCCCTCCCTAACCTCCTGTATACTTGAGGGAGCCGCCCCCCCCCCCCCCCCCCCCCCCCCCTCCCCCCCAACCCCCCCCCCCCACCCCCCTGTGTACTTCGGGGCGCCCCCCCCCCCCCCCCCCCCAGTACTCCTTGACAGAGCCGCTTACCAGTTACCAGAGCCTACAATGCACACTTTCTTGCCGGCCATGGTGCCGCTTCGCTGCCTGGGCCACCAGCTGGGTGCCACTCTCCCCAGCTCCTCTGCCGGCTGGGAGCATATAACTCCAACACACGTGGGTGCCGCCAAGCCCCGCCCTCCAGGGGAGGGGAGGCGGGCGCCCAGGGAGACAGAGTCTGGCAGGGCCAGGGAAAGGGAAGAAAAGGGTAGAGACAGGTGGGGAACAGGAATGGGGCCGAGACCAGGCCTGCTTTTCCTCTTAGGTTTGCCCGCTGACGGTGCTGGCACGCTGCTTCCCTCGGCCCCAGCCCAGGTCCTCAACCCCTCCCTCTCCGCAATGGTTTCATTTTAAGTTCTGCCAAGACCGGGCCCAGATAAGGAGCGAGTGCCCGGTCCCCCCCCACTCCCGTCCCCTAGCACTGGAATAAATTGTATTCAGTCCCAGCAGCAGATCCAGGCATGCCTTCTTTTCCAAGGTAGGAACCGCCCCACTTGTCCCCCCCCAGGACCCAGAAAGCTGCTCTATGGGTTCATCCTCTGGCGATGACGGGTCACATGTTGCCCCACTGCAGGGCTGTGGGTGAGTGAGGTGGGTGGGTGTGGCCCCTTTAAATAAGAGCACGTAAGAGGTAAGGACCTGCTCTGGGGGCAACCCAGCCCAAGGATAAGACCCCAAGGGCCCAAGAAACAAAGCACACCAGTGGGCCTCTCCTCACCTGAATGTTTCCCAGGAAGGGGGGCAGGAAAGCCCAAAGTTGGAGGCTCTGATGCCAAGTGGCCCACAGGTGTTTTGCAGACTCTGGGCTTGAGGAGGAGGATAGGAGAGAAAAGAAGGCAGCCCAAGTGTTCACTGTCCTTGAGAGGTACTGAGCTTCCTTCACTTCTTTCTTGGGTTTCCAGGCTAACCCCACACTAGGGGCGCCTTCAGGTTAGTGGCTAGTTTGCAGAAGCCAGAAGGGAAGGGAGGCAGGACCTGGGGCAGTTGTGACCTCTGTAGAGCTTTGTGGTCTCAGATGCTGTAATCAAGAGCAAGTGGGGTGTGCGCTTCTGGGGGGAGGGAGGATGGAAGGGACGCACAGTGCAGTTCAGGGCTCTGCATCGCCCACAGCAACCTGTTTAACTACGAGGGGGAACTCTAGTTTCTAGGCTGATGTGGAGAGTGGGGCAAAGGCCCCTTACACTCCAGCTGTCTGTGCACCTTGGCCTGGAAAGCAGATAGCACTGTGTGCTCACGTGCTGACCTCCTGGCCGGGCCAACTGCTGAGTGGGTGTTTCCATCCCCCTGGGCTGCTGCTGGCTGCAAACAGTGATAAGCACTGGGCCAGAGGGGAGTTTGTGTGCAATCACTGGGTAAGGGTTAAGTGGCCCTGAGGTCAAGACTGGGGAGAAATGGTTTCCTAACTTCTAAGGACTGCCTGGTAAAAAGCCCACCATACTCTACTCCCATGGCCAGGGAGTTCCCTTAGGGGAACATACGTGAAATCAGCAGTTGATTGTTTCTCTTAGGAACAAAATTATGCCTACTACAGAGCCAGCCCCCCCAACGACCACTGTTATTGCACTGGCACTGCGACAAAGGCACCAGTGCCAGGCTGCCGGCTGGGACCACTGATTATGGGTGATGGAAGAGAAAGAATGCTTCTGTCCCTGGCACACAGGATGAGAACCCCAAAGAACGGATGTTTGTGCATAAAATAACCTCTTGTGTTTGCCTAAATGCTTCCATCTTTTTGTCCCTACGATCATTTAAAGTAGTATGGAGACAAAGAATTTGTTCATTTATATAGGAATAAAGAGTGTGCAGAGATTCAGAACTGGCCTGTCACAGGCCAATTATCTGTACCACTAGGGCTCTTTTCCCAAGAGCAAACTGCAGATTTGCTTGAAATTAATAATGGTTCATCAGCCATTCATTACACATGTAATTAGCCTGGGTGAAAACAGATGCCATTTCAATGTCCTTGACATCAATTGTTTCCACTCCCAAGTTATCATCACCCACACACACTCTTCTGCTTTCCCCACTCAAGTCTGATAAACTGCCACATTCCAGATTGGGAATAGTGGTTGTATCCTTGGTGGGTTTGACTGCATATACGCAATACTTGAGTGTTCACATGCATGGAGGCAAAAGTTAATTTTTTAACTACAACTTTGGAATGTAGTTGCCTTCACCCTGTGTTCTAAACCCCCTTCTTGAGTAGAACCAAGCTAGATAATGGCACAAAGGAGGAAAGTAAAGAACTACCAGGTGGGAAGCAGGCATATGATGGAAACTGCAGCAGAATTTCATGCTTCTGCTAATGGGACCCAATCCTGAGCAAAGTCTTCTCAACTCTACCAGTGAAGGCTCGGTTGTCCATAGCACGAGGATGACAGTGCAGCACTTCCACGCCACTCTCAGGAACTAAAATCTTACTCGGGGTTGAGAAAGTGGAACCTTAAAGAATGGCAGGCACACAGACCACAAACGTCTTCAGTCCTCACACAGCGCTGGCCCGCAGGAAGACAGGAGCCCTGGGAATCCTAGAGGAGGCTCAAGTTCATCAAGTGTAAGGGACCACAGGTACCCAAGGACAGCACCCTCGAGCCAGCAGGTGCCCTGGGGAGTTCAGAAGGACAAGGGAGAGAATGGCAGTGCCACTGTCTTGTTAGAATCTTCCTTAACGGGAACTGAGGACAGGACTCTCAGATCCAGTGATGAAGCCCACTACTCCCAACCAGCACCTGGCCTGCTTGGAGCACTGGGGCTGACAGAACAAGCTCTAAGGTGAGAACCTGAGGTCCCCAGGGTAGAAATCTTGTTTTTCACCATATCCCCAGTGCCTAGAACCACAGCTGGCATACAGCAGGTGCTCAACAAATATCTGTCAAATAAAATGAACAAACACCATGAGCATGGCTAATGGTATCGAAGAAGAAAGCTCAGGGAAGAGCTCTCCATCAGTAGGTAGGGGGACCCATCCTTCAGAAGATTCTTTTATTAAAACTGGGTGACATCGATAAGGAGACAGTACAAAAAAAATTTTGGTCCATGAAAAAAACATAGTAATTCAATTAATAAAAAGTTATCTTCAGGGACACTGTGGAGGAGTGCTGAGCTTCCTTCTCATGGTTCCAGCCCCAGGGACAGAGGCTGTCTGTCCAGTGTCACTCTGGGGAGAACCTTTCAAGGGAGGGATGGGATAATGACAGGAAGGGGAAGACAGGGAGGAAGTTCTGCTGTTCCCAGTGTGGGACAGTCAGGGATACAGGGCTGGGGCATGTGCTCGCAGAAGCCTGAGGAGGGGGTGGGGAAGCAGGGGCTTTGTCAGTTTTGCGGGTTTAGAGCCCATGCTGAACGGAATTCCCCCTCTGTGCCCAGCTGTCTCCCACCCTGCTGTGTTGAGTCTGCGAGCCTGGGACATGCTAACTCAGGGGTGATACAACCTGGAAGAAGAATTTGAGGCTCTCCTGGAAAGATGCAAAACTATCTCAGTTGCAAGGGGCCCAGATCACAAGGTCCTGCTGCTACCTGAGGGGTCTGAAGCTTTTGAGGGCAGGGGCTGGGTAGTCACAATCCTGTGAGGCAGGGAGAGGGAAGAGTCACAAACCCAACTCAGAGCTATTCTCCAGCCCTAGGCGCTTTCACTCCTCAGTGCCCTAGAAGTCACCAGTGGGTGTCAACTGGGCAGACAAGGGACAGGAAGACAGGGATGGCCCAGGGCTTTTACCCGTTTGATTTTAGGCCTGTTTCTCCATGAAAGGATGGGGGAGGCAGGGTGGAATGAATGAATGAGTCACACCTCCAAGCAACAGCAGGAAGGAACAGCCTCTGCCAGCAATGACAGTACCCTAGGTGAGGGCCCTTGGGGCTCTGACAGGGAAAGGCAAGATTCCCCCACTCAAATGCCCTGGGTTAGGACAGGTAGGAGGGAATCCTAAGAAGCAGCTACAGGGAGTGTGGTGAGAGGGAGCAATACTAAGAGAACAAACTCCAATACTGATGTGGACCCCCTACGAGGGAGTAAGAGAAGCACTGAGTCAGCAGGCCAATCCAGAGGGCTGCGGACTGACCTGGGGCTCAGTGGAGCCCAAGAACCAGGATTCCTCTAGTGCTAGAGGGCAACAAGTGAAGGGACAGTTTGCTCCAAACCTGTGGAGGGAAGGTAGGAAACTGGATTCTGTTATCAGGAAAGCCGAGATCAACTAGCTTATAGAGTGCCCCCAGGCCTGAGTCTCGGAGAAGGGGCTAAAGCTCCCACCTCCTGGGTCTCTGAAGGGCAGGATCAGTGTAGCTGGTCCCCTTGAAGACCACTTGGCCTTAGGCCCAATCCATTCAATGCACTGATTACCACTACGGGTTCTCTCTCTAATACTATCTAGAGGTCCTATGCAGACCAGGGGAGGGTACAGGCACATGGGAACTTTGTGGGGCAAAGGGAAGCTGGGGGTAGGAAGGGATGGGGTGGGAGAAGAAGAGGGTAACAGGTATCATGTGAGACCCTCTTCATTCTGGTGTTGTCCTAGAACCAACAGCATCCCCTGGAAGGCCCCAAGCAAGACCAAGGCAGGTGCTATGAGGCAGGCAGCACAGGGCCCCAATAAAGAAATCGGTGCAGCCAATCAGGGCTGTGGGAGAAGCCCTATGTGTTTCGGATTCCCAGGGCTTGCTCTAATTCTTGTCGTCTCTGCTGCACCTAAGGAGAAAATAGTGGAGGGAGCGGAAGATGAGACAAACCAGAAGCTGGTACCTAACACCACTGACCCCCATCAAGGGTGCAGACCCCCTGCCTTTTGTCAGTTTCTCCTGTGCACCCCAGGTGCCTACCTTGGAGTAGAAGTATCGGCACACGGCCTCCTGTGCCCAAGGCTGGAAGTAGAACTCAGCTCGGCGCTCTTCCTCTGGGTTACCCACCACATCAGTCATGGTCTGAGGGAGATGGGAGGGGGAAGACACAGAAGAGACTGGTTTCCTTTCTTGCATCTGTTATGGATTGAATTGTATCCCCTAAAAGATGTTGAAATCCTAGCCCTCCCAGTACCTGTGAATGTGACCTTATCTGGGAATAGGGTCTCTGCAGATGATCAAGCTAAGATAAGGTCATTAGGGTGGGCCTAATCCAGTATGATTGGTGTCCTTATAAAAGAGGAAACTTAAGACACAGAGACAGACATGCAGAGAGGAAAGATGATATGAAGACACATGGAGAACACCATCTGCAAACCAAGGAATGCCTGAAGCTACCACAAGCTAGGAGAGAGGCCTGGAACAGACTCTCCCTCCCAGCCCTCAGAAGGAACCAAACCCTGCTGACAACTTGATTTCAGACTCTAGCCTCCAGAACCATGAGACAATACCGTTTCCCTTGTTTAAGCCACTCAGCTTGTGGTACTTTACTATGGCGGCCCTAGCAAACCACTGAAACAACACCCAAAGTCGCCTCTGCTGTCAACAAGTCATTCCCTTGTTCAGGGATCCTTTCAGGCACCCCCTGTCCCTTGCTCCTCTTCTCGGGCTACCTGCAGTCAATAACCACAGAACAGGCGAGCACTGAGGACACATCTCACACATTCTGCGCTCTTTCCTACCTTCCTGCCTGAGCTTCTGGCGCTCCCCTCTCTGGGATATAACTCAAATCCCAAATTCTCCATGAAGCCTTCCCTAGCTATTCTAGCCTCATCAATCTCCGTTCTCCTTTGTATTACCTTTTTGATACTGGTGAGTTCCAATAATGTCTTACATGATTTACTACTTTTTAAATCACAGTAACATGGTTTCTCTGAACAGAATGTGTGCTACTTTGAAATAGATCAAGTTTTCCACTCTGTATCGCCTCCAATACGGTGCACAGTGACAGCACATAGTAAGTACTAGATAAACACTTGATGGTTCCACCTCCATTTCCCTACTTAATTGTAAAATGGGCCCTGGAACACACTAAAGAAAGTCTGGTCCCTCACTTCCCCCCGGCTCTCCATCTCATGCTACGGAAACAGAGCAAATGTATGCCTCACGGATCTAAGTCTCTTTACACCTGTCCCAGGTTCTTTACCTTGAGGTCCCGGCACTGGGACTGAAGCCAGTCATTGATGAAACCCTGAGGGTCTCTGGCAAAGCTCAGCATGAACTCTCGCTGGGTCTTCAGCTGATTGATAGTTTCTATCGTCTCATGGATCTGAAAGGAAGAAGGAAGCTCGTAACATTTTCACACTGGGGAAATGCAAAGTTAAATGGCAGGCAGTGTGTGACTTCTTGTGCCGCTGCCAACCTAAGAACAGAGTGCAGCCCACAAATGGCACTGCTGCCCCACCTGCTCAGGCGCTCGGCATTCGCTTAGCAGGTGATATGCACCGTGTCTCTATACACCCCACGTGAGGGAAGTTTTCCTTTTAGTCTCCACAATGTCCACTGTGGATGAGGCTACATGCTAAACATTTAATCCACAGCATAAATGGGTCCTGAAACACTCTCAGGTAGAAAAGAAGTGGTACAGAGAGCTGTCTCAAAAGCTGTGGTCCGTGGGTTTTGTTCTTTGTCCTCTTCTCATTCTCTATACTCTTCCTGGCGGTTTCATCTACTTGTATGTCTTCCAGTACCACTGACAAGGTAATGAGTCCCCAGTCTGCAGACCAGAATCCATTTCCCAAACTCCAACCAATCCACCTGCTTGACATCTCAAGGCACCTTAAACTCTCCAAAACTAAATACACTACCTTTCCCCAATACCTGC